TGTAGAGAGAGAAAGCAAAACACCATTTGTAGAGGCACTGAGGCACTGGGTATGCCAGTGGCATGGCTTAAACACAGAAGTGATGTATGTGGGTATATGCGTGTCTACACAGATGCACTTGTGCTGGGACTATGATGAAGGCAAGTTGGATCGGGTAATGGGAAGTGACACTGGAGAACTAGATGGTGATTGGAAAGGTCAGCTTGAGTACTCTCTTAGAATTTTGGATTTTACCTTTAAGGCAATGAAATTTTAAACCAGTGACAGAAATGATTGGATTTGCATTTTAAGAAATCTACTCCCAACAACAGGGTAAAATTTTGATGAAGCAGTTGAGGCACAGCCTAGGAGGCTGGTTAGGACATTTGGAATAATCCAGGTGAGAGGTGGAGAGCCCTGTCCGGTCTTTACTGTGTTGGGCTACCTCAGGTTGTGGCACTGCAGTCCTTGGGGAGCTTCTAGGAGCCATCTTCTGATAAGAGCTTGGTATCTATAGACACACACTTCCCTTCCTTCCGTAAGGGCATTCCTAGGTCCCTGCTGGTAGAATGGGTAAAGCTAACAACTTCTTGCGATTTAGGGTGATGCTTTAAACAGAAATCAGCCACTTCTTTTTAAGGATAGATGGTAAATATTTTAGGTTGTGTGGGCCCGTAGTCTGTTTCATAACTATTTATTGTGGCCTTTGTAGCTCAAAAACAAGCTGGGTTTGGTATGTGGGCCATAAGTTCCCAATGCCTAGTTTAAGATACGACAAAAGCAGTAGTCTTTATGTGTGTCTGTATGCGTTATTGGTTAACAGCATGTCTTTGAAGCCAGGATACTAGGTTTAAATCTCAGCTGTACACCTAAATGTCTTTCTTTCTCTGTAGCTTAGTTTCCTTATTTATAAAATGGGGATAATAGTATACATCCTAGGACTGTTTTTGAAGAATTAAATCAGTTCATGCATTTAAGACACTTAGAACATTGCCTGACACACAGTAAACAGTAAGTGGCAGTGGTAGTGAGGGTAGTGCTGATATTTTTGCCTTCTCTTCAGACATGTTTGAAAGAGTCAGATGGCAGTGATACGGAGGATTTTGGCTCTGATCACAGTGAAGACTGCCTGTCAGAAGCAAGCTGGGAACCTGTTGATAAGAAAGAAACTGAGGTATGTGTGCTGGGTACTTACAGGGGACAGAAAATTTATCATATGACATGCTCTCCTCCAGATGAGTGACATTGTTGTAGGCAAGTAGCGTGGCCAAGTCATAAAGACTGGTCTTGTCATTGTTTTCTTGTGCTACTTTCCTCATTGCCATGTTACTTTTCTACCTTCTTAACAAGGACCTGGAATTTTTCCTTTCTGTCAGGTGACTCGCTGGGTTCCAGATCATATGGCATCACACTGCTATAACTGTGACTGTGAATTCTGGTTGGCCAAACGAAGACACCACTGCAGGTAAGATGCTTTTGTGACTCATAAAGTTGTGCAGTACATATGTATAATCCTAAATTGAATCAATCTAAAAATGAAGGTACCGGGTTGGGCGTGGTGGTGCACTCCAGCACTCGGGAGGCCAGAGGCAGGCAGGTCATTGCAAGTAGGACCAGCCTGAGTTACAAAGTGAGCCCAAGGTCAGCCTCAACTGCGTAGTGAGACCCTGTCTCAAAAAAAAAAGGTTTACATTTGATAAAGTATCAAAGAGAATCCATCTCCTCAACAAAATTCTGTGCCCGTTGGGGCAAAGATGTGGCTCTCCATGTGCATCACCAGCACAGCTGAACACAAAGCACAGCTCGCTGGCAGTGTTCAAGTGATGTTTGCCCCCATCTTTCTTTTCATTTATTCATAGAGAGCCTTTTGACTTACGCATTCTCAGTTATTTGGCATTTCTGGTGAACTCTTTCTTATTTGTGTTTTGGCAGAAATTGTGGGAATGTATTTTGTGCTGGATGCTGCCACCTGAAGCTGCCCATTCCTGATCAACAACTGTATGACCCAGTTCTTGTCTGTAACTCATGCTACGAACACATTCAGGTGTCTCGTACCAGGGAATTCATGAGCCAACATCTGAAGAAACCTATCGCGACAGCTTCCAGTTGAATGCAGAGGAGATGACCTGTCCAATGTTAGCAGGTTTGAAGGGAGGATCTACTTCAGGTGTAGTGTGGAAGGTTCCTTGGTGTGGCTCATGAAATCACAGAGCTCAAAGATACTGTCTTGAGAAATCCTCCTTGGTACTATGAGACTGGAGCAGAGGAATTTCAATTTGGCAGAGACCTCTACTAGAGAGACCCTTACCTTGGGGTAATGGTCCTGATCCAGACCTAGAGTCTGGGACCTTAATGTTGAGTTGGTGAATTCTTTCTCATGAAGGGTCACAAGATGATGACTTTATAGATACTGCCTGGTGCAAAGTGCCCAAACAGCAATAGAAAGGCATATGTGTAACCAAACTGCAAGTGATAACTAGACCAACTCTCCACCTTGAAAAAAACAGATTCTACTATACAGGATAGGAATTCCTATCCTATTTGAGATGAACTCTATTCTGTACCTCTGTGCTCTGTGTCTGTGCATGAAGGCTCAGTCTTTAGAGGCACTCCCTCTAGTTGCATTAGTACTTTCTGTGAAATTTGGCTTACGAACTGGTTTGGCAAGTGAAGGTTTCAATATATTTTTCACTTGGTTCATCAGCCAGCATCAGTGAATAATCAGTTTAGGGGGACAGTTCTAGGGAGTGAGACATTTTTGGAAATAGAGGAAAACTGCTGATGTTTAATCATGGCAAAAATCAATTCTTTTGAGCTGTGAAGGCATTTGCGTCTTTACTCTGTGAAGGTAGCTCTTGAGGATGCACTGTGAAGAATGAGGAGGGAAATGCAAAAATTATCCTTGTGAAATACCTGCTGATCGTGCCCTACCCTTTGCGCCTGACTTTTCCTAGTTGTCCTGGTGCTAACACAGGAGCTACACCTTGATCCTCTCCTGGCATGAAAATAAAACAAAGTTTTTTATTGTTCCATTGCCCACTTCTCCCATGTTGTCTTTCCCTTGGCTGCTGCCTCCTCTGGGTCACACTGCTTCTTATCCTGAACACTTGACACCTTGAGGGTAGAATTTAGTGTTTGGTTTTTACCTCCTAGAATATGCTGTTTGGTATGTGAGGGTTTCAGTACAAATGCTGCTGTCTATTTCTGTGCACTTAACAATGGAACCCAAACAGAAGAGAAAAGCCTTGATACCAAAATTGGGAGATAAAATGTGTCCATTTGGACCAAACGTATTTTTTGTTTTGATTTTTCATCTTAATATGTACCAGTGGCACTTAACCAAAAGATACAGTGATATAGCCATGTACTATGGTTGGGACAGATACAGTCTCTTTGGCCTATCATGAAACCAGTAGAATTTCCTTTGTATATTTTGCTTAATCATTGGTGTATAAAAAGTAAATTACATTTAGGTGTATCCTGTTTTAAAGCTATGGTAGTTGTTGCTCTCACTTCTACTTTCATGTTGCTTTCTAAAAAAAATGATTCCAAAATAACTAAAATCTGCACTTAGAACAAGAATTGTTGTTTGTCCTGATCTTTTCTTCAGTCCTACAGAGAAGCATCTGTGCTTCTTTTATACTTGCCATGGATGTAACCTAAAAAGTTTTGGCATATTTAGGTCAGCCTAGCAGAATTTCTTTTTAAATGGAGCTGAATAATGGAGATTTTGTGTCTGAGAAATTCCTGAGAGATCATTGAAAAAATAACAAACTATTCCTTGTCTCTGATACATAAAATTCTTTTAAGCATTTTCTCAATTATTAAAACTTACTGCCAGTTGTAAGTGGCTTTTTAATTAACTTGATTTACATTGCACTTCACTCTGCCTGTTTTCAGGGGGTGGGTTGTAAGACTGGTGACATATGAGACTGTATCTGTCTACTTTGTGTGGCTGTTTTGAGGGACTGTCCCATCAGAGAATAAGCTGCATGGCCTTGGAGAGACACTCTGGGCCCTTGGCTCAGATAGGCTCATCAAATACTCCTTTCAGAGCTGTTGTGGGTGTAAGTGACCTAATGTGGCCAAAAATCTAAACTGTGCAGTTGCGTTGTGACAAACATGCAATGTGCTGTAAAAACTCAATACGGTTCAAATAAAATCTCTATATTAGTGCTGCTTTGTTGGGTCTTTTTATTTTAGTTTCTGTGAAAACATAATACTCGTTGTTCTTCTATCCATAAGAAAAACTTACATTTTCTTCTGACAATTTCTGTTTTTAAAATGGACTTCTCTTTTTATCAGCACAGCTTCTGTTATAACTGTATTTATTGACTGGGTAGGGATTTATTCTTACGGATTTGGTAGAATTCTATCCACCTCCAGTGAGATTTCTCTTTTCTGGCTCAAGTGTCACCAGTGGAGGGGTTGAGGAGGCACACAAAATTGTACTTTGTCGTGTTTCCCCTTTGCCAGACAGCCCAGTGCTTATCCAACCTTGAATCAACTGTCTTAAGCAAAACATTGGCCTGAACGAATATATTTTTAAAGATACAAAATGCTACTGTTTAAAATGAATTCACTGATTATGAATATTGTATCTCTACCTCCTCGTTCTGATTTGGAGAGATCCCCAATAAGATTTGGCCCTTTGTTCGCAGAAAGGACTGTCGCTAACGCAGCCTTCAGCATTCTGAATGCCACAGGCCGGCTGGGCCCAGGAGTCCCACCCTTCGTGTTCGGCTGTGTGCGTAACTGAGCTTCTTTCTTTGCAGGACGTAGAACTCCCTGGTGGGCAGCGCTCCTCTTTCCGAAGCAGCCCATGCGGGGACATGGAGGGAATGCGCCTCGTCCCTGCGGTGTCGCGTGCCCGCGGCAGCCGAGGGCAGCGCGCGCGGGAACTCGAGGCCCCATTGGCCCTGCGGAGGCCGCCGCGGGCTCTCTGCGCCAACGGTCTCCGGCTGCGGCGCTGGCAGGAGGGGGCAGGGCGAAGCGAAGGCCGGGGTGGGGGGGATCGAGAACGGGGTGGGAGAGGGAGCCAGGCTCGGCGGGGCGAGGCCCAGGGCCGCGCAGGGGCGATGGAGGAGGCGCTGCTCTCCACCCCCATCAATCCCAACAACTTCCCTGCCAAGCTGTGGCGGCTGGTGAACAGCCCCCGGTACCGCTCGATCCGCTGGGACGGCCGCGGCGAGGGGCTGCTCATCGACCAGCCGCTCTTCGAGGCCGAGCTCCTCAGCCCTCCGAGCCCGGGGGCCGGGGCCGGGGCCGGGGCCGGGGGTGGCGGTGTGGCAGCCACGGGGGCCGAACCCGAGCTCTTCAAGACCACCAACTTCACCAGCTTCATCCGCCAGCTCAACCTCTACGGCTTCCGCAAGGTGGTGCTGGGCGGGCCGGGGCCGGGGCCGGGGCCGGGGCCCGGGCCCGGGGGCCCGGCGGGCGACGGCCCGCTGCACCACTTCCACAGCCCGCACTTCCGCCGGGACCAGCCGCAGCTGCTCGTGCACCTCAAGAGGCTCACCAGCGCCAACAAGGCCAAGCTGGCGGCGGGCCTGGAGGTGCCCTGCCGGCCGCCCAACCGCTTCCAGCGGCTGCTCATCACGTCGGCCTCAGCCTCCGCCACAGTCTCCGCCTCCACCTCCCCGCTGCAGCACCAGGAGTCACCGCCTCAGCCTGCCGGGCCCCGGCGGGAGCCGCAAGGTGAGTCGCACGGTGAGTCAAGGCTCAGGGGCCTAACCTGCCCTCAGGCACCAGGGAGCAACAGCCACCCCACCATAGAGGGCAGGAAGGGACCTGTCCACCTTGGAGGTGCCCGGCGGTGTTGGAGAGCCTCTGCACCGTGCTCCAGTGCTGCAGTGCTCTGGTCACCTCCACTGACCCCGCAGGCACCCTCACCCGGGGCCTTAGTGCTTCCTCAAACGGGTTCCGAAGCATTTAGCCCCTTCTGTGTGCTCCCAACAACAAAAGGGACTCTGCTTTAGGTTCTCCTGCCACCCTTCCCCAACCCCAAGGGTTGACATTGCTAGTCTGAACCCTAGGGTTGGAATTGTGACATCTAGAACCCCGAGAGTTTACCTGCTTCTAAAACTCCATAGTCACTTAACTTCATAGGTCCATTCTTTCCGCTGTGAACCTGGATGACAAGTGGGTCTTTGTGAAAGCACTGGAGCTGAGGGAAACCCAAAGGGCCTCCTTGCTCCAGCAAGGAGAAAGCTACAGGTTAGAGCCGGAAGGAACAAAGTCACAGCTAAGAAAACTTAGAACATTATACCATCCAAGGCAACCTGGAAAAAGTACCTTGAATGAAAGCTTGTCCTTGAAGAAACATGATACCTTCCACCTATTGGGGTATCTAAGAAACCTTGCCAGAAGTGTTACGATAACTGTTTAAGGCTCTAAGTAATATATAGAATGGTAGACATTGCTTATGTATCTTATAGGCAGAAATACAATAAATGGTTTCCAAGATATTGTTCCATTTGGAATTGACTAAACATTTGTTACAGCTAATGAGAGCTTAACACATAAGATGTGTTGTTAGATAGATACAAGGCAGGAAGGGTTTTTTTTGCAGCTATTAAGTTTCCAAAAGAAGTTTACACATGTACAAGCTATAGATTTTTCACTATTGTGTATGGTCTTTAAGCACTGAAAAAAAATGTGTAAATCTATAGTGAGTAAAAGCTCAGAAACCTTCGTGATAATGAGTTTTTTATGGTCTTGGTTTCTGATCCTCTTTTTACTCTTCCATAAAGGTGAGGGTGACAATACTTTTTTTTATTAATTATGTTTATTGGTACGTTTTAAGTATTCATAATGATCACATTCATCCTAGGGAATTTGTACCTGTACGTAGCACAACTAGATTCTTTTTTTCCCATCTTCCTACCTTCCCTTCAATCCCTCTTCTCATTTACAAAAGTTTCTTTGTTTAACGAACCCATGATATAAAGCACTATACCAAGACAGCAACAGGATATAATAATGAGAATTCATTCTTCACCTTTAACCAGGAGAGTAATAGAAACATTTCTAGCATGTTAACATAGATTTAACATAAATCTGGAAGCTAGGCATGGTGGTACATATCTGTAATCCCAGCACTCAGGAAAATGAGGTAGAAAAACTTCCAAGTTTGTGGCCAGTCTGGGATACATGGCATGCTGGAGGCCAGCCTGGAGTGTGTATCAAAACCCTTTCTGGAAACACATGCACACAAAAGAAAGAGAAACCAAAACGAAATCCAGGTTATTTTTGCATTATGAAAAAAATTTAAACATACAAATAACCCTATATTCAAAGGACTATGCTGTGTGTGTGGTTTAGAAGACAAAGGTCTAAGAGTTCTATTAACGAGCTGGTAAAGTAGCAGTGCCTTAGGAATGTTCTAAAGGAATTCTAGAGGAATAGTAAGTTGCTTCCAGGTGATGGCCCTTGGTTTTGGTGGGGAATTGTATGGGGAAAGACAGACACAATACTGTGGTATAATTTGGCAGAATTTCTTGGAAGTGATACCCCTCCCACATATCCCCTCCCCTCAGGTTTGGTCTCTAGAAGGCAAAGAAGAAAAGGCTGGAAATACATTCATGGGACAAATGAGATGACCCACTTCATACAAGGAAACATACTATTACATAAAAACCAACTTCTGCTTACTCTTTTGTATTCTTTGATTGCTTTTCTTCCTATTTAAACCCAGTTGTATCTCAGGAATAGAGAACATTTTAATTGGAGAAATACAAAGGCTATCTACAATCTGATTTTATCCATTTAGAGTTCACTTGGTCATCATTTTTTATCATTATTATTATTATTAGTTTACACAGGGTCTCACTATGTAGTCCAGACTGACTTTGAACTTACAGTGATCCACCTGCCTCAGCCTCCCACGTGCTGGGATTATAGGCATCTGCCACCATGCCCAGCCTGGTCATCATTTTAGAGATTGTTGAAAAACATGAATTTAATTCATACTTTTTCAGTATAGGTAACAAGCCAATTCATATATGACTAGGTAATTTTTACACATTTTCTATTTTTAACACTCTACCTGTTGGCCTGTGCAGGAAGACACAGGTGTGGATTATTGATGCTATCCGCTTGGTTCACTGGGGAATTGTGTTATGGGTTTAGGTGAAAAGTATTTCTATTACACGTTTAAGAATATTGGCTTTTCATTCTGTGTTCTAAATTCTTAGTGCTCCTTTTTTCCCACTTGAATCATGCCTTGATTTATGTCCGACCACACAGCTGCTTACTGATTTCCATTTTGTTTTCTATGTTCTACTTCAGCTTGTGGTTTGAATATTCCTGTTTTGCAGTAGAATCCTATATTTCAGAACCTAGTTCTTTTACTTAGATCCACTGAGTTAACTGTCCTGTTCACCTTCCAGCAATATTCATGAGAAAAAACTTGAAAAATCCCATTTTTTTTAGTCTCCTTTTAAAATTTTGTTTGTAGTGTCAATTTGTTTTTCAATATTTGTCACACATTCTAAAAATAAGTAGCAAGGTCTAGGAAGTAGATAATCTCTCTAATCTCTTTAGAATTCTGTCCTGGGAATTGACTAGCTTCATTTTCATAAAAGGAATAAAATCTTTTAGAAACAGAAATCTATTCTGCCCGATGTTTCTAGGATTCTGGATTGAGATGTTGCCAGTTGCAATTTAAATTTAGAGATATACAGATGATGTTCTACAAGCTGGTCAAAATAAAGCCTCATGAGGTAATCGTTAACAGAAGAACAAGTCAGAGTAGAACGTGTTTTAGTTTTGTTTTTTGTTGTTTTTTTTTTTTTTTTTTTTCTTTTCCCGGTACTGGGGATCGAACTCACCACTGCCTGTTTGCAAGGCAGGTGCTTGTACTGCTGAACTAAATCCCCAGCCCCCTGTGTTTTAGTTCTTTATTTAAAAACATTTAAAGGGACACCCTTCTAATTCTGACAGTTTTCTAATGTTATCAGTGTCTAAAATAGATAGTTGACTGATACTCAGAGTTTATCATGATAGTGTTATATTTTAATTAAAACATAAACTAGAATTTGAGAAATAGAATTCATAGCTGTGTCAGTTATTGACATTCAGTTTATCCTAGAAGAGGTCAGAAGAACGAGTAAGATACTGCATTATCTTTAGTACATAAAGCATCCATGGAGAAATCAAGTGGAGCACAGTTTGAGACATTCAGAAACTTTTTTTGAAGAGTAAGTTTCTTTAGGAAAACAAAGAGTTATCAGAGGTGAGTTCAATGTATATGTATCTTTGGAATTGCTTGTCAGATACCACCACAAAAATTATGTTTTGTACTTTAAAGGAAAACAGAAAAGTCATTTCTAAGCGATCTATCATTTAAACACATTCTGTCTTCTGATGTAAGGTTTTTTCCCCCCATTGAATAAAGGCCTCTTGATTTTCAGGGCTCCAGAATTTGTGTTGTTTAATATGTGTGCATGTATTTGTTTAGTCTTGGTATTAATATCTTATTCTTTTTTAATACTTTAATTTATTAATATTTTATTCTTTTTAAAATCATAAATGAATTATTTTATCCTTATTAGTACGTGTTTGCAGTACATGATGATTACACTTATTGTAGAGAGTTGTTACATGTATACGTTCTTTTTTTTCTTTTTTTCATCCCGTTCTCTTCCCCTCCCTACTCCTTCAAACTCTTGGTCCCTTTCACATTCACAAAAATTTTGTTTTTCCCTTACATTCTTTTTTTCCCACTCCCTTTCCCCCCCCCACCTTCCATATCTTGATTCCCCATCCATTTGAAAAAGATCTCTCTATTTCCTGTTTATCTTCTATTTTGCGCTATCTTTCTAGTTCTGTCTCTGTCTCTCTGTTTTTAGTTTCTCCTAAGAGAAACTGTGTGGAATTTAATTTTGTGTCTGATGTATTTCACTTATATGATGGTCTCAAGTTGTATCCATTTACCTAAGAATGCCTCAAATTTATCTTTCTTTATGACAGAGTATGACTTCATTGTGTATATACACATTTTCTTTATCAATTTATCTTTTGATTGGCATATAGGCCATTTCCAAAATTTGGCTATTATAAATTGTGCAGCTATAAACAGCTATGCATGTATCACTGAAATATGATATCTTTAACTCTTGGGGTGATACCTAGAAAGGAAACAGTTGGGGACATGGAATTATACTGATTTCCAGGGTGATTACATTCCTACCAAAAGTGTAAAAGGATTCCTCCCACCAAACCCCATCCTACAGTTATTCTTTGATTTCTTGATGGTGACAGCCATTTTTTCTGGAGTAAGATAGTATTTCAGTGTTTTTTAAAATTTGCACTTCTCTAATGATCAATGATATTGAAATTTTTTTCATATATTTATTGGATGTTTTGTACCTCTTAGAAGTATGTCTGTTCATTTTGGCTGCCCAGTTTTTTTGTTTTGTTTTTGTGCTGAGAATCGAACTCAGGACCATGCATTTGTCAGGCTCGCTGAGTTATATCTCTGGCCCTGGCTGCCCAGTTTTTGATTGGGTCTTTTATTTTGAGGAATCTCTTTTTTTTTTTTTTTTTTAGGGATTTTTAAAAAATTTGTTATATGTTCTAGATGTTAGTCCTCTGAGGAATAGCTGGAAAAATGTATTCCTATTCTGTAGGCTGTATCTTCACTCTTGGTTGTTTCCTTTGGTGTGCAGGAGTTTTTTATTTTGATGTGTTGATTCTTGGTATTGGTTCTTGCTTAATGCTTTATTCTTTAAGGAAATAAAGCACCAAAGAAATAAAATGAGAGAGGTATAATATGTTGGTTTATTTGAAAAAATAGAAATTTGAGTGCCGTCTTTCAAATTTAGGTTAGTATCTGAGTAGCACATAACTTAAATTTTCTCTTTGTTTTACAGATTAGTTTAATAAAATAAATAGGAATTTGTGAACCACATAATATAATACTAAAAACTTTTTAGGAATAAATTAGCTAGCTTTGTTTATATAAAAACATCATTATAAGTTTAGCATGCAACATTTATATTATTCCTTTTCTCCTTGTCCTTTCTATTCCTTATGTCTTTATGTTTTTCTTTTTTCCTTCTTTTTTTTTTCCTTTATAGGTAAGGAAAAGCAAATTTCTGTATCAGGTATCTGAACTTGGATATGTCGATTTTTTTTTTTTTTTGAGACAAAGTCTTGCTGTTTAATTTAGGCTAGTCTTCAGTTTACTATGTAGCCTAGGCTGGCCTTGAACTCACAGTGATCCTCCTGCCTCAGTCTCCCAAGTGCTAGAATTATAGGCATGTTCCACAACACTTCACTGGATATATGGATTTTTAACAAACTCTCCCAGTGATTCAGATGTTAACCCAGGGTTCGAAAACTACTGCTATCTGGGAAGGGTCAATACTAGAAAAACTTTAAAGAACCTTAAGGAAAATGGTTGATTGATTTACAGAGTGAAGAAACAAAGTCAGACTTTTTAATCCTGACTTTTCTACAAAGATTTGTTTTTCTAGACAAGATATTTTTCTAATTGAAAGCAAAAACCATTGCATTTCTTTTTGGCTTGTGTTTTATATATATATATATAGTATATATAGTGTATTATTTTATTTTTGGGGGGGAGATCGAACTCATAAACTTGCGCTTGCCAGGCAGGCACTTATGCCACTGAGCTAAATCCCCAGCCCCTTTGTTTCATTTTTTGAGAGAAGATCTTACTATGTTACTGTTTTTCAGGCTGAACTTAAACTTCTATTCTTTTGCCTCAGCTTCCCAGAATGCTAGTATTACAGATTTGCACCATGAGACCCAGCTTTGTATTATAATTATTCCTTACATATTTATTCTTTATGTATATTCTCCTGCTTATTATTAAAACTTTCAAATGGTTTGAAAGAATGAATGAAAAGCTAGGAAGTAGCTAACACTGGAAAAATCAAAATCAGTCAATTGAAGTGAAAGACAGAAAGGCTGAATCATCTGTAAAAGGCTTTTAACATTGAATATTTAACCTTTGATTTCCTGTTAGTATTTGGTCACTTTATCTCTTATGACAGTCAAATAGAGAACCAAACAAAAGTTTACTTGATTAATCTATGTGCAATCTCATATCCTAGATTCTGAGCTTATTTTTACCAATAGTAAACTTTTGTTAAAAACAGCCGATAAACTGTAGTTTTTTTTTTTTATCTTTGGTTTGCTATGTCTGGTGGTGTAATATAAAATTAATAAACATGCTTTTCCTCTTTTATGCAGGACCAGTGGCTGTAGGACAGTTTCACCGATCATTCCGGCGAGATAGTTTGTCTCCGTATTCCTATGTATCAACTTCATCCCACAACCACAGTACTTTCCCTCTGAAAGGTTTAGATCGGACCCCGATTCCTCCTAGAACATGGCAGAATTCCCTTGGGATGCACCCTGGACAAGTGGAGACGTCTCCAACGTTTTCAGATAAGGGAGTTCCATTTCCTGTACTGCAGAGGTTTCCAACTGAGGTTACCTACACGCTGCAGCCCAGTGCCACATCTGTGCATGTTCAACAAGGTCCTCAAACAATGGTCAGCTCCTCCCAAAAATATAGTAACTACACACCCTCAGCACAGTTCTCCCAAGCCTACTATCCAACAGGTATGAGACATTTAAGTTCACTGGTTTCTATTAGAGTAATTAATAATAATATTTATATTTCTTAATCATTTAAAATATCTTTTCATACTTTTTTGTTTTGTTTTTGTGTTTATATTTTAAATTTTAATCTCTTTGGGCTTAAAAATAGAAGGAATATGCACTCAAATATCAAAGATTTCTTAGCAGGACACATTTTTTTTTAAACAATATATAAAATTTTGTTATATTTGTAAAGATTATAAAGGTATAGGTTTTTAGTGAAATTTTTGTAACTTCAAAATGTGTTCTAGTTTTGAATTTAAGACTTAATACCCTGAACCAGGTGTGGTGGCACACACCTATAATCCCAACACTCAGGAGGCTGAGGCAGGATTGTTATGAGTTCGAGACCAGTTTGGGTTATAAAGTAAGCTCAAGGCCAGCCTAAACTGCACAATGAGACCCTGTCTCAAAGAAACAGAAAACAAAACAAAACTTAGTACCCTGGAACCTTATTTTAACTCAGCTGTTGGTTCAGTATTTAGTTTTTAACAATAGTTTAAATGTATTACATATTTTTATATTTTAATTTTACAGGTAAGGTTAACTCATAATGAAATCATTTTAGTATCTCAATAATAAAGTTTAATGAAAAAGCATACACTCTGAAAATTAAATTCTTTACTAAAATGTGGTAAATCGTGGAGTTTCTGTGATGTTTATGTTATACATCTAAGAATTGGGAAGTAACAGACAGAAGGAGAAACTGACAATGACAGTTGACCTGTAGTTAACTAACCATGCTGAGGTCATGGCTGGTAGATCCCAAGCTATTAACTGGAATTCCTTATGATAATGACCATTTGTTTTGGATCTCAGAAAAAAAAAAATGTGTTTTCCTGATGGGTTTTTGCAAGATAATAGTCTTACTATCTCATTCAAAATGCAGTGGTATGGGTTTCATCACGAATTGTACTTTGCACATAATGAGAAATGGGCCCGTAGAATGAAGGACCAAAGCTTTCAGAAAGGACAGAATAGGAAACATTCTTTTGCCCTGTTAATTAGAAATCTGGAAAACCCATTAATTTTCTCTCAAAATAATTTGTTGCCACACAAAAGTTATAAATCTGGTGCCTATTTTATTTGTAATGGATGCACTGTTTTCTAGCCTTTAACATCAAACTGTATATTTTTATTTATTGGCTTATGATAGTCTACCCAAATATAGAAGCAAAAAGAATTATTTTTTCTAAAACTTTTAATTTTAATGATATTATAATAACAAGAGCAGAATTTAAATTAGGCTAAGTTCTTTATATTTTTTTGTCTTTTTTTTTTTTTTTTTTTTTTTGGTGGTACCGGGGTTCAAACTCAGGACTTCACACTTATAGACAGGCACTTATGCCACTGAGCTAAATCTCCAGTCCCATTTTTTTTTTTTTGTCTTTATATTTTTAGAGCTGCTACTGTTTACTCTTTCAGTGGATAGCAGGAGCATTGTATGTATGGAGTAAAAGTGATTTAGTACTTTTAGTCATTTTACCTATTAAAAAAAAGAAAGGTTTACCATCTTATGTAGAGAATGGTTGAGGCCTAGTATCTCTTCACATATTTCTTTGAAGAAAAAAAATGTGCAGTCTTTAAAAAGAGATGACTAATTTCATATCTTTTTTTTTTTTCTTTATTGGGGATTGAACTCAGGTTCTTTGCACTGAGCTATGTACTCACCCTAGACCTCTTTAAAAAATGAGATAGCATCTAGCTAAATTACTCAGCGTGGGTTTGAATTTATGATCCTCTTATCTCAGTCAATTGAGTGCTGGGATTGTAAGTGTGTACCACCACACGTTGCTCAGGTTTATAAGACATATATCTTGAAGATAACAACAAATAAGATCACATTTTTATTATTGAAGCATTTGATTCAGTATTTTATTTTATTTATTTTGGTATCAGGGATCGAACTCACAACCTTGTGCTTCCCAGGCTGGCGCTTATGTCACTGAACTACATCCCCAGTCCTATTTTATTTTATTTTTAAAAATAGTTTCTTGCCATTTTGTGCAAAATGACCTTGAATGGGCAATCCTTCTCCCTTAGCCTCCTTAGTTGTTGGGATTGCAGGCATGTCCTGCCATGCCTAGCTCTAATCCTTGGCTGCATTATTTATTATTTTTACCTTGGCTGCATTCCATGTATGCATGGGGTGGAGTGGGGAGAGAGATTGACTATTACTTATACTTGTTTTACATTCTGTGGCCCAAATAGATGATTCTCCCACATCCCTTCCTTTCTCTAATAAGTGTTTACCTTTCCTTTCCTTTTATAAAACTGCTGAAGTGTCAGTAACTTTGAGGGAGTTGAAATTTGGAAGGATTGTATAGGGAGATAGAGAAGTGTGGTGTGATCTTCCAATCAGAATTTTGAAGTGGAAATATCAGATACAGAGGCTAGGCATTATATTACTATCATCGTTACAAATGGTTATAGTCTTTATGTTGTTTTTATGAGAAAATGTATTCCAAGTTCTAAGTAATCCTTGTAGAAACCCCAAATTCTAAGTTTTATGAAAACAACTTCTATGTATCATTCACCAGAAAATGCTCCAACTAATAATTTGTTAAATTGCTATGATTTTGAATTTGTTACTGAAAAATATTTTATCTTAGTTGGAAACTTACAAAGGGAAAATTATAGAGCCGGGTACTTGTGGTGGCAGATACCTGTAATTCTAGCACTTGCAAAGGCTGAGGCAAGGAGGATCATCATTGAGGGTTTAAAACCAGTCTGGGCTGCATAGTGAGTTCAAGGCCAGCTGAACTGAAGTACATGGCAAGACCCTGTCTCAAAAAAAAAAAAAAAAATTCCCTGCCAAGGGTTGGCATTACAAGGGTGCACCACCATGCTTGACTCTTCTGTTTTTAAATTTATATTTTGTCCCTTTTTTAATAGGGATAGTTGAAGTGACTATAAATTTTCTGAGATTAGGAGAATAAGAAATGTCATGAAATAAAATTGTCAAAATTGCTTTGACCATTCTGAATTTTTTTTTTTTTTTGTAGTATTAGGATTGAAACCAGGGCCTTTCATGCTCAACTATATCCTCAGTCCTTTTTTATTTTTATTTGAAGACAGGGTCTCACTGAATTACCCAGGTAGGGCTTGAATTTGGGATTCTCCTACCTCACCTCCTGAGTGCTGAGATTACAGGTGTGTGCCACCATGCCTGGCTCATTCTGAAATATTAATATAAATAAAAATTTTATTGTTAAATATAAAAGACTTGCTATGGAAAAAAGTGCTATAAAATACTGCACAAATACTTAAGTTTTCCAGTTATGGGTGAAGGAAACAAAATGTTAAGTGCAAAAACTGAACCAATATTTAAAGAGTATCTATTTATGAACAGCATTATAAATGACTTTCCTAGAGTTATAAAGCATTACTGCTCTCAGAGGCGAGATAATAATCAGTCTTAAATTCATCTAAGTCATAATAAAAGAACTAATTTTGGAATAGTGGTCATATTTCTATCCTTTCAAAGTGAACTATGCAATGAGGTTTGTATCAAATTTTAATAAAAAACGGCACCCAAGTTCATTAAAAAATTGTGTTAAAATAAACTTGGACTTGGTCTTCAGATAGTATGACCAGTGAATTTTGAATTTTGTCATATTTAATACATTCTTAATTTCTCTAGTAAAGCTAGGCTATTGAGACTAATAAATTGCTATCATACTGACTCAAAATGACTCATCAGAGTATCCTTGTCCTGCCTTTGAAGTGTCTGTTTTCTTTGCCTACCTTGTTTACATTTTTCTATTCTGATCTCTCCTTCAAAGATAAAATGTCATTTTATCCAGTATTTGTTGATTTTTTTTAGTTTTGTCCTATCTAGAACAATTTCTTCCTCTGATGTTAGTTTCTCACCTATGATTTAATTTTCTTCTTTTATTAAAGTCTTTCATGTTAGACCTTATTTTACTGATTCTCTGCTATATATTTGAACATACATAAACTTCACATATACATAGAAGGTCCTATGGTGAAGAATTTTGAGAATGTTTTACGGCATTGGAGACTGAACCCAGGACCTATGTGCTGAGGTGTTTTTTTGTTTGTTTGTTTGTTTTTTAATTTTGAGACAAGGCCTCACTAAGATGCTGAATTTCTCAAACTGAACTCAAACTTTGGGATCCTCCTGCCTCAGTGACCAGAGTGCTAAGATTACATGCGTGTCACCACCACAGTCCTGGAGTAATTCTTTCCTTTGTTTGTAATGTTGAGTTGATTCAAAATCTGTTTTCAAAGTTCCATTTTAAACTCCACAGTGGTGATTATCAAATTATATCTTGTATTTTAACAAATACTTACATAGCAATCAGTATGATCCAGTACTATTGTAAGTACTTTTCAAATATTTATTCACTTAATCCTCATAATAACCTTACAAAATAGGTATAGTACAGTTATCCTCGGTTTTTTCTAGATGGCAAGACTGGGGCACAGCTGTTAACTAGCAGACAGGGAAAGAAGCCCAAGCAGTCTGATTCAAGGATACCTTCTTTTGGCCATTGTCATAAATAGTTTGTGGTATGTGTGATGCGGGGAGGATGTCCTATTCTTTGAGAGAATCTCCTGGTTTATCTGTCCACCAGAGTTGGTTATTCCCAGTTGGAGTATACAATCCAGACACTGCAGGAGTGATGCACTGTTGTATGGTCCTGGTGGCATTAGGACTGCTCGGAGTTGATGCACTCTGTCTAAACAGAGGAAAATACTTGAATGGCTGGCATGAGAGGTCTATTGGGGGCTCTGGAAAGTGCGGTTACCTCTTAATTTGTTTTGTATTCTCTATACCTAGCAGAGCTTGCATGTAAGTGACCTCTGGTAAATAATCTCTTGAATGGGATGGGCTTGGTAGTCAATCATGTAATGTGACCTTCAGCTAATTATTTCATGTGGCTTAACCTCAATTTCCTTTTCTATAAAGTAGTGATAATAGTTTGGGTCTGGAACTAAATGAATTTATGTATACATAACAAGTTTATAAAATTTGAAATAGTATTTACATTTAAAGTACAGTGTTTAAAAGTTGTCTTAAATAAACCTACACACACTTTAAAAAGTAAGTAATTTACAAGAATATAGACCAAGGTACACATGATATTTTTATTTTTCATTGAAAAACATATCCTATAATTTAAAATTTTTTCTGAACCAACTTTTGGGCAAAAAGGGTTGCAAACTCTGGGCCTTGTATATACGAGGCAAGCCTTCTACCACTAAGCTATACTCCAGCCAACTACATTTAAATTCTAAAGGTTTGACTTGATGCCTGGTTGGTGGTATATACCTATAACCCCAGAGGGAGGCTGAGGCAGGAGGATCATGAGTTCAAGATCAGCCTGGGCTCCATAATGAGTTCAAGGCCAACCTGAACCCTGTCTCAAAAAAAAAAAAAAAAAAGTTTGACCTTTTGGCTTCCGCTTCTAGTAATCACACACACACAAAATACAGACTTACAGAGTTATAAAAGTTTTCCAGGGCCGTGGTGCTCAGTCAGCCTGCTTCTCTAAAGAGACCTAACTCTGTACTTAAGGAAAAGGGCTTGCCAACAGGAATTTTTTTACTTGGCAGAATAAACAAATGTACAGTCAGATTTAACTCTTTTTATTATAGTAAAGCTCTTATAAAACATAAAACTTAATCCGAGCGTGGTGGCTCACGCCCGTAATCCCAGCACTCAGGAGGCTGACATGGGAGGATCGTTATGAGTTCGAAACCAGCCTGGGCTACAAAGTGAACTCAAGGCCAGCCTGAACTGCATAGGGAGACCCTGTCTCAAAAAAGACCAAAAAAAAAAAACCCATAAAACTTAACATTTTAACTATTTTTCATACCATTAAATATATTTGCCACTAGTTTTCTCTAAAACTTTTTCTATCTTCATTATCTGAAACCCATGGAACACTAACTCCTCATTTTATTTTGAGCCAGGTATGGTGGTGCCTGTCTGTAATCCCAGCACTTGGGAGGCTAAGGCAGAGTTCAAGGTCAGCCTGGGCTCTAGTGATTCAAGGCCAGCCTGTACTATACAGTGAGACTCTGCCTCAAAAAAACCGAACAACAACAAAAAAATCCATTGACTATTTCTGTCTCTATGAATATAACTATCCTACATACCTCATATTAGTGGAATTGTGTAATATTTAATATAAAGATGTACATCTTAACTACTTTTAAATGTATGATTCGTTGGCATATTTATATTGACAGTATTGTGCAACCATCACCATTATTTAAAAAGCTTTTATCACTCAGGTGAAACTATCCATTGAGCAATGGCTTCCCATTCTTCCTTCCTCCCAAGCTCTGGTAATCACTAAACTAAAAATTTTTGCCTACAAATTTGACTAATCCAGGAACTTATCTTGAAATAAAATTTACTGGGTTTTTTTGAGCCTGTATATTTTTGACTATTTTTTCACTGTTGACATTGTACTAATCCTGGAGTAAATTCAAACTGAAACTATTTCAGTTACATATTTAAAATTGCTTCCATAGAATAAAGTATACAAACTTGTTTGCCTCATCTATAGTGACAGTAATAATTTTTTAAGTTTGGACTTTTTTATTATTTAGAAAAGTTTTAAAATGTTGTCGACTAGCCCAGAGCCCAAGTGTATACCTGTAATACCAGCTACTTGGGAGGATGAAGCAGGAAGAGTGCAATTTTGAGACCATCTTAGGAAACTTACTGAGATCTTATCTCAAAATTTTAAACATTCTTGAAAGAGCTGAGGATATAGCTTGGTGTATGGTGCTTGCCTAGCATGAAGTCTGGGTTCAATTTCCAGTATGACCACCATCAAAAAAATTGTATTTCTACCTTTCTGTTTATTATTTATACCTTTTCCTCTTACATGCTGTTTAATGCCTTAAAGTGAACACTGCCTTCACAAAGATACTTAAAGATCTCTTTTTCCTTTTTCAGTATTGGAAATATAATGCAAAGGTGTTCTACCACTGAGCTACATTTCTGTCCGTTTTTCTTAAATTTTCAGAGGCAGGGGCACACTGAGTTGCCTAGGCTTACCTCAAAGCCGCAGTCTTCCTGCTTGCACACTCCCATGTAGCTGTGATAATGGGCACGTGCTACTCCAGCCTGATTTAAAAGATCATTTGCAGATTAATGCATTTTAAGACCAGTAATGGCCAGGGATTTAGCTCTGTGGCACAAGCATTTGCCTGGCAAGCATGAGGTCATGAGTTCAATCCCTGAGTACCAAAAACAAGACACAGTGATAAACTCAGTAAGTAAATACTAGAGCTTTCCCAATGTACAGTAGGTTAATTTGTCGTATACTAATAAGCACATAGTTCGATCTCTATATGTAGGTTCTTCTGTTCAGTAAATTTACTAATACCTTGCTTTGTTCTATTCTCTCGTGTGTACAGAGTAGGACTGCACTGGTAAAGAAATGACTATTGAATATTTTGGGACTTTGATCTATTAAAGTTCTCTTTTTCTTCATTCAGATACCTTTTTATTTTTCATATTTTGGTAGATGCTTTAAAGAATATTCAGTGTTTCACTGTTTTCTTACAAAGTCAGCTGTAATATTACAAAGAATATGTAATATTAACATATTCTTTTTTCTTTTAGCTTACTTATCAAAAAATTTTACTTTAATATTTTTAAAGCTTCAAAATGTATATCTAATAGGATCAGGATCAACACATTGAAATATCAGAAAAATAAATATAACCCTTTCAGTGATTTATTTGTGATTGAACACTGTTTCTCTATTGTGATGGATGACTTCCGGTAGGATGTTACCTGTTGATTGCCGCTAGGGGGCTAGGTTTTCCTTACTTGCTATTGCTCTGGAAAAATGCTCTTGCGTTTTGGCACACCCCACTTGGTGTTTAGTTGTTTGGATCCAGTTTATTTCCTGGGATGTTTTCAGATACCTTAGAAGGTCTGGGATGTAGTTCAGTAACAGAGCACTTGCGTAGCATGTGTAAGACCCTGGGTTCAGTCCTCAGCACAACAAAACAAAACAGACAGACAAGCCAGAAAAATCAAAAACAAAAATCCTTGGGAACTAAATTCAAATAAAAACATTTAATTTTATATATGAATAAATTCCAGAAGATCGATTGTAGAAACCTGTTTGCCTAATCTGTGTTGGAATTCTTTGTGACAATTAGTGATACTGTATATGTTTTTTTTTAAATCACTAAAATTGAGCAGAGGAAGTAAAAAGAATTAAGATGTGTTATGTATATGTACCAAATCCCTGTCATGAATAATTATATAATGTAAATGTACTAATAAAAATAAATTTTTTTAAAAATCACTAGAATTGTTAAAAACCATGTTGCTCAGATAACCTCAACCCTTGTATTTATATCTGAACTAGAATTCTATTATTTAAAATTTTTCTATGTGCAAAATTTAATAAACTGCACATGATGTGTAAAAAAATTTTTTTTTGGACACAGTGTCTCACTGTGTAGTCTAGGCTGGCCTTGAACTCATGGCAAATCTCCTGCCTCAGCCTCCTGAGTGCTGGAATTACAGGTGTGCACTACCACACCCGACTGTAAATATTTATTTTAGAAACCAGTAGTCAATTATGGAAAATGTTTCAGTTAATTTTTATAATCTTTAGGCTAGTTTACTTTCAAAGAGATTATAGTTTTAGTACACTAAAAATACAAAAATTGTAGGCACCTTTAAAGATATTCAGCATGTGGAATTCTAGTAAAATCAAAATGCCAAATTTCAGGAAGAAGGGAAATACTGTGTAGAAAGAGTGTGTGCTTTTGAAGTTTAATTTACTGGCTCTGACACTACCAGCTTTGTGAGTTTGAGGTTACTTCTTTTGTAAAGTAACTTCATCTGATTGTCTTGATACCTGTAAATCATCTACCATTGTGCCTGCAGAATTCTAGGTGCTTGATACATGTTATCCTATTTAATCCAAAGGTGTGATATTATAACTGATCCTCATTTGTATTGGAGAGTCTCAGAGAGACTAAGCCTATTAAGACCGCATCTGTAGCTGAGTGTGGTGGTGCATGCCTGTAATCACAGCATTTGGGAGGCTGAGGCAGTAGGATCACTAGAGTTTTAGGCCAGTGTGAGCTGCACTGCATCTGTCTTTTTTTGGGAGGGGTTACCAGGGTTCGGACTCATGACCTTATGCTTACCAGGCAAGCACTTAAGCCACTGAGCTAAATCCCCGGCCTTTTGCATCTGTAAATATAACTATTCATGCTGTCCTACCTGTAAATGGAAAGTTTGGAAAATGTATTTTGGGGTTCATTTCCTACTAGCACCAGAAAAAAACTATTTCTTTATTTGAAAAAACAGCTGGTAAATATTTATTGCATGCCTAACTGCCATTACTGTTCTTTAGTACTTTATGGCTTTAGGATCCATAAACCTAAACACTTGTCTAAATGGCTAAAATATTTTTTGCATCTGTTTATTCCAGGTGCATTATTTAATGGTAGGAATATTGAAAAGATATTTTGTAATTATTTACCCTTCTACTCCCCCTCTGTAGTTATTACTGCACAAAAGAATTGAAACATTTAGGAATGTCAAATATATCCTGATACTTTCAATAAAGTGAAATTACTTTCAATAACAATAAATGTTTGGTTATAAAGATAACACAATGTTTAGGTGTAAAGAAACTACTTATGAAAGCAGACATGATTATTTTAAAGTTATTATATGACATGTTATTTTCAACAAATAATAGCACCTAAGTTGAACTAAATCTAATTTGTTTTGACACAGAAAGGAAGTTTTCCTTTGGGTTGCTTTCCACGTTGAAAGAAGGCAGTGCTTGGAATGCCATAGGGGTTTCTTTTGGTTGGTGGCTTATTACTGTTTGAATTTATTCTAGCTGTGCTACAGTGCTGCTCTCCTTCTACCCATATGGATGCTCTAAGTAGTTGTGTCACTCCCACTGCCTCTTCCTATGCACACTGCAACTACTTCCAGGTAAGATTATGGCTCACTATGCTTCCTGTACAGTTGCACAATTTCAAAGTATAATTTATATTAATCAGTAACCAGAGATAAAATGTGGATCGTGGACTTAGTTTTCTGAGTTCTAATTTTTTTAATGGATGGTATTGTCAGGAATTGAACTCAGGACCTCACATTTGCCAGGCAGGTACTATACAACTGAGCTAAATCCCTGGTACTGTTAGTTTGTTTTCTTATCTTTTTTTTTTTTGTACCAGGAATTAATTTTGTACTCAGGGCATTGTGCTTGCCAGTAGGTGCTGTGTCGCTGAGCCCCCAGTTCTAATTAAAAGGAGTAGCGATATAAATGGTGTCTGAGTATTTTTCTAGGCTATCATTGTCCAATATAGTAGCCATTGCCTACATGTGACATTTTAAATTTAATTTAAAATTAAATGAAATTTTAAACCAAGCATGGTAGCACATGCCTGTATTCCCAGTACTTGGGAGGCTGAGGTAGGAGGATTGCTGTGAGTTGGAGGCCAACCTGGACTACATAGAGAGTTCAAGGCTAGCCTAAACTACAAAGTGAGTGAATGCCTGTCTCATCCCCCCAATAAATAAATAAATAAATAAATGAAATTTTAACATTTATTATTAGTTTCACAGTCAATTTCAAGGGCTCAGTGGTCTCATATGGCTAATGGCTACCAAATTGTATAGCATAGAAATGAACATGCTTCATTGATGAAAGTTACTTTCCACAATGCTGTTCTAGACTTTCCCATGGTAAAATGATTGCAAGATAAATTCTAAAAGTATATAAGTCACCAAATAACAGATTCTCTAAGATGGTACAGATCATTAGACTTTTTTAAAGAGAAAAAAATGTCAAAAGTAAGGAAATTTAAGTCTGGTCCCATTCAGTCTTAGCCTGCATGTTAAAAACATTGTACTTCAAGTATCTTGTCATTATTTTTTCAGAAATAAATGCTCTAAGTGTTTTATATTGCTATTTTTAGATTTTGGCGGGGGGGGGGCGGGGGAACAGAGTCTTGCTAAGTAGTGTAGGCTGATCTTAAACTCGTGGTGATCATCCTGCCTCAGTCTCCCAAGTGCTGGGATTATAGGCCTGTGCCACCATACCTAGTTTACATTGCTATTTTTTTGCAGAGTAAATGCCATGCTTTATACTGTAATTGCTAGATTGGCAATGTGTATCTGGCTTGGATAATCTTCTAAATCAGTGCCAGTGAACGTTTTAGAGCTTTCATTGATAATTGATAGCAAGCTGCTGCAGGCTAGTGATAGGTTTGCTACCATTGAATCTGAGATAGTTTCAGTCCTTGAGGTGTAAGATTGTGTGTATGTTGTTGGGAATCAAATCTAAGGCCTCTAGGCAAGTGCTCTACTACTGAGATACATCCTCAGCCAGAGAGAATATTTTATGGATGACATTAAATTGCTGAAAAGAATACTCTTAAACTAGGTGTGGTGGTGCACACCTGTAATCCCAGCATTGGGGAAACTGAGGCAAGAGAATCACAAGTTTGAGGCCATGCGATGGTACATAGTAAGTTAAAGGTAACCCTGAAGTACATAGTGAGACCCTGTCTCAAAAAACAAAAACAAACAAGAACACCCCCGCTTTTTAAAAAGAGAATATACACCGGAAGTAGACACTAGGACTGTTTTGAAGTAGATTAAGGGAATTTAGTTGGCCATTTTTCATTGCCAGCATCCTCAAGCATCATATCCTAGTCAGTACATTTTCACTGGAAAGACGTACCTACCCTACAGTTAGATGTTCTTGTTTGTAGATCCAGACACTCTCCCTTGAATTATACTAGAGACACTCTGACAGTATTTATATCTTGATTATGTCATTTTAAATAGGTCATTCAGAACATTTTTACTATAAAGACAGTATATGTTCATTTTTTGGAGAATATACATGAGACATAACATTTAAAAATGGGAAGAAGAGATATTGAGATATAGCTCATTGAGATATAGCTCAATGGCACAAGTGCCTGCTTGGCAAGCATGAGGTTGTAAATTCAAACCCAATACCAATAAATAAATAAATAAAATTAAAATAGGAAGATGATATTTCAGATTACATTCTGAAAATCAGTGCAGTGTCATTAGATTATAGGTATTATCAAGGCATTGCATGAAGGGTCATTGTATTATTGTGGTTAAAGCAAAAATCCTAGAATCAGGCAAGGCAGCATGTCAGTCTCATAATCTGAAGATCCTGAGTTACAATCAGGCAAACCTAAGCTTAAAACCTGGCTCTGTCAGTTACTTTAATGCCACTTTGAGTGAATTAAGAAGTTTCTCTGAACTTTCTTTTTATTATTTAAAAGTAGAAATGATCATATTTCATAAGGCTTTTGTAAGGATTAAAAGAAGTAATGTATATAAAGCTTTTTGCATGTGCTTGTCACATAGTAAGAGCTCGATACATGGTGCTATTAGCTATAATAAATTGATACTTATACTATTTGAATTTATATTAATTATTGGCATTAGTTACCCAAAACTATGTTTGATAATATCAAGTCATTGTATGGTTTATTTCATCATAATTGTTTTGTATTTTAAGTTACAATCTGAAATAACATTGAATGCCTACTTTGTGCAAAGCACTACCATATGTATAAAACAATATTGTTTAATGATACAAATCTAAAAGTGATGGCTATTCTAATCTATTGCTTTGGGGTTTTTTGTTTGTTTTGTGTTTTGAGACAGAGTCTCACTATGTAATGTAGGCTGGGCTTGAACTTGCTTATGTAGCCCAGATTGGCCTTGAATTCAGAGTGATTCTCCTGCCTCAGCCACCCAATTTACTGCTTTGTTTTTAAAAATAATCTCAGTAACCAAGGGATATTTGATATTCCATCCATTTTTTTTCTCAGATCGTTGGGAACAGAGTATCATCAGTACCTCCCCCTGAATTCATACAAAGATTGGTAAATTTGTGAGCATCCTGTTTTTGAAAGTTCTTTACTATATTCCTAAAAGAGTATGATAAATGAAAGTGATGTTTTTATCCATAAGTCTTTTTGGAAAACTTTGGTATATATATATTCTATTAGCAAGTAGGTATTTGAGTACTGTAACCTTTTTGGTTTTGTATACTCCTGAGAATTAGTGGTCCTCTGCAGTACTAAACTTAATCTAGGCTGGGCATATAGCTTAGTGACATAAGCACCTTCCTGGCAAGCACAAGGTCCTGAGTTTGATTTGCAATACTGAAAAAAATAAAACTCATCTAGTGATTGATGTATAGTTGGTGCTAAGTGTAAAGCTAATAGTGCATTTGAAGCTACTGTTGCTAAAAAGTAGATTAGTGTTCCTATTTTCTTAGTAAGCTTTAGATTTAGTCACTTATGTTTAACATTCATCTGCCTAAATGTTGTTGCTTTCCTCCTTAATCTCATATTTGATTTTCTATCCAAACAGTCCTATTTTCTCTTTTCCCAGAATCCTCCAATGCAGTCCTCCTATCCAGTTGAATTTCTGCCTTCTAATTGGCCTTGCAGTGCTACTGATGAAAATAAAAAGACAGAAGTAAACCTAGAGGCTGTCTTTCAGATAGTAGATGAGTTGCATTCTTCCCCTAAATTGGAAATGGTAAAGGTGGAGCCTGTTGAGAATCAGTGCCCTACATCTCAGTCTAACAGAGGCCAACATATCCTAGCTAATTCAAACAGCAGCAATCCATCTTCCACAAGTCAGGCTAGCCAGCTGGAGCCACTTACTCCTGTAGGCTCAGATATTACGTCTTTTGTGGTTGGATCAGATCAAGCAATTGCCTGCTCTCTACCGCAGTCACCTGAGTACATCTATACCATCCACACAGCCCAGCCTGTGGAAAACAGCACAATGCAGGAATCAGCAGCCATCCAACAAGCTCATAGCAAACTGAAGGAGCAGCTAAGCCATAATGCATCTTCATCTTCAGTAGTATTTATGCAAGAAGGGCTACCATTTTGCACACATCAGGTAAGGATGCAAAGAACAATCCTAATAATGCTCAAAGTGTTTCTTGCCAAAGGTTGAGTGAAGAGTTTGTCTAGTTTTTACTTGGGTGTAATTCCAGTTCACTGTGCTTTCCAAAAGGGTTGTGTCCCAGAGATTTTGTGCAAAAGATTCAAAAGAAGTTGCTGTAATCCCCACACATCCTTTCATTATGTTATGATCTGAAGTGAACCTCTGGAAAGACGAACCTGATAGAGCATTGTGGTGTAAATCAAAATTATTTTCAAGTTAAAAGCATCCCTTGAATTTTGCTTCCTAAATTAATTTGGCTGGTCTAGGTATGTCTGACTATAATTCCACTACCAGAAGGTATGGTTTGTTTGACAGATGATATGAGGACTTTCTTAGGCATTTGTAGATGGAGGTAAGTATATGATTCAAAATCTTTCCTTACATTTTTTACAGCACCATTGCATTCTAATAGTGAGCATACTGTGTTCAAATTTCTGACTTGTACTTGTATTCCTAAGGCAAAATTCTGACTGTAGGTTGAGAAAACTATTTAGAAGACAGAGGCTAATTTCTTTCTATTAATATATGACCAGAAAAGGAATAAACTTTGATTCTAAATAGTAAGAATAATTCATCAAAGTACATCCAAATTAACATGCTTTATATGAATTAGAGCAGAGATTCATTTTGTCTTGTTTTGGTTTTTGAGACAGGGTTTCACTATGTAGTCTCAGCTGGCCTTGAATTCAGTATGTAGCCTGGGCTGGTCTCAAACTCAGGGCAAACTTCCTGCCTCAGCCTCCAGATTGCAGGCGTTTACCGCCAGTACAGTAGGGTTCTTAAAATCTTTTGGCTGGCTTTTGGCGCCTTTTAAATTTTGATTTTAAATCTAAATGTCTTAAGATTTCTGTCAACCTCTCATTTTTGAGCCTATTGAGATTTGGTATATTATTTTAAGATGATAATAGAAATTCAGGGACACAAGATAGGTTCCTTATATTTTAAATATGCCTATAGAAAGAATATAAAATTCCTTTGTTCCTTTATAATCATATCTAAAATATTGAATTTCATATCTTAAAACTGTATCCATGCAATTATTTTTTGTATATATATATATATATATATTTATTTATTTTTGCTTTTTGAGACAGGGTCTTGCTATGTAGATCAGACTTTCCTTGAACTCCCTATGTAACACAAGCCTGCCTCAAACTTGTAGCAGTCCTCCTGTCTCAGCCTCCTGAGTGCTGGGCTTACCTACATGTACCACTATGTCCCTGCAGCTCTTAATATATTTGAACATTATAGCTGTTGGAAGCAATTTAACTTTAAACTTTATTTTATTATATAGTTTTATTTAAAATAAATTTCTAAAGAAAATAAAGTATTTCAAAAGTTGATAAAGGATTTAACATTCCAAAGAAAATTTAGGAACCCAAGAAGAAATCTTAATTTTATAAATAGGACAGATACAGATTGTGTGTGTGTGTGTGTGTGTGTGTGTGTGTGTGTGTGTGTATGTGTATAGGTTGAAGTTTATACAATTTTGGCAGCTTCTTTAAGAGAATACAGAAGTCAGTCCTGTGAGATGATGTCCATGGGCATCACAGACCTACCAAGTAGGAGGGCACATCTAATTGAATCAAAGATAGTTGTCTTAACCAGTCATATTTAAAATCGTATTTTTTAAGTTAAAAAAATTGACAGGCCTCATTTTAAATCCTTTACTCATAAGTAAATGTTTTAGCTCCGTATATATTTTAGTGGTTTAAGTGTGGGGAAATGTACATTTTATTATCAAGTATTTAGATAACTCAACAAAATCAAAGTTAATATCTTAAGAATGAAAAGCTTTACAAGCATGTTTCTATAATACAACTCTTACGATAAGCTATATTAGCTTTTAATAGATTTATGGGAGAAATCTTAGAATAATAAGTGGGTTTAATATTTTAGGTGGATGCCAGTATAAAATGCCAGACCAATCCACCGGAGAGTATCTTGCCTTCTGAACAGATGGGATTCCTCATTTCAGAAATGGGGCCTGCTAGCAAGGCTAGTAAAGACACAGGTTTACTCACTCCAGCCAGATACAGAGAGCGGAGAAGCAACTCACAACAAGGAAAGTCCCCTGGTAAGGATTATACTTTTAAGATGTAGAATTTACAGCTTTGAACCAGACATGGTACCACCTGCCTGCAATCCCAACACTCTGGGAAGCTGAGGCAGGAGGATCGCATGTTTGAGGCCAGCCTGGGCAATTGAGCAACTTCGTCTGTGTCTCAAAATTTTAAAATGGTCTGGGGATGTAGCTCAGTGAAAAGGCTATGGGTTCAACCCCCAGACTTCAAAACAAAATTAGAGTTTTTATCCCTAGGATGCTAGTAATGGAACCAAGTGTAGAATTAATATATGAGTGATTGTTTTTCTGGATCTTCATTATTCATAATTGTATTTACCCATCACTGTGCTATTTTTAAATAACTAGTTTTAATTGTGTACTTTTATTAATTATCCTTATAAAGTATGTAATAGTTATTTTCTTAAGATTGTATATAGCTGGGGATTTAGCTCAGCGGCATAAGCGCCTGCCTTGAAAGCAGGCAGTCGTGAGTTCGATCCCCGGTACTGATAAAAAAGAAAAAAGACAAAAAAAAAAAAAAAAAGATTGCATATAATTTGAGCTTTTAAAAGATTAAATATATTTTGGTACCAGGGATCAAACTCACTTGTGCTTGCCAAGCAGGTGCTTAACACCACTGAGCTAAATCCTCAACAAGATTAAATATATTTTAAAAAGAAAATAAATTAGGTTAACTTGGAGAAGGTAAGATGAAGGGTAATTTAATAACTTTTCATACTCTAAAGAGATTTTGTAATTATAGATGTAATTGTTCTCTTAACACACCGTTGAACTAGGGTATATGTATTTAGATTGTGATGAGAGAAAATTAGATGAACACCAAAGATAGTTTAAAATATAAAGATATTGTAAAGTTTGATTATCAGTGGAGTAATTTTTCTTGTGGTTTGTAGGACCTAACATGAGGGATTATTTTGGGGCACATACAGTTCTACTTTTTCTCTGAGATGAGGTCTCATCATGTTACCCAGGCTGGCTTCAAAACTCCTGCCTCAGACTCTCTAGCCACTGTGATCTAGGTACATGCCACCATATCTGGCTGTATTCTTCGTAAGAAATTTTGATGAAATTATATTTTTATCTAATAAAATGTATTTCTTTGGTACTGGGGATTGAACTCATGACCTCACACTTAGTAGACAAGTGCTTGAGCTGCTGGGCTAAGTCCCTGGCCCATAAAATGTATTTCTTAAATGATTAAAGTCAAATCATATCACAGTTTGCAGTGAGTAATTTTAATATTCTTAACATATGGGCTGGCCATTCAGGTAGAATTAATCAAGTCTGGCATTTAACCTATAATGATTTTGAATGTTAAAAACATCTGAAAGTTTCTTCAAAAAGTAAACTCACTGGGCCCTTGTAATCCTAGCACTCAAGAGGTTGACACAGAATCATCTCTGTGAGTTTGAGGCCAGCTTGGGTTATGTATTGAAATCTAGGCCATCCCAAACATGAAGAGACCCTGTCTCAAAAAAAAAGTAAATTCATAAGTGAAAATGTTGCTTAATTTTGTAGACTCTTACATCTTTTAGAATTGTCTTGATTAGTTATTAAATTACCTTGCATAGTCAGTTTTAGTTGAGTATGTTTTCTAATCATAATTAAAGGTTAAGATTTCTCATCACTTAAAATATGTAAAACAGTAGTATAAACTTGAAGGCAGGGCTGAGTACATAGCTCAGTGGCCTGGCAAGTGCAGAGTCCTGAGTTCAATTCTTGGTACAAAGCAAAAACAAAAACAAACAACAAAAAATAAGACACCAAAGGCAATTTAGAAGGAAATAAGCACACACTACATATCTACTATGTGCCTTGCAACAAACTTATCGAAGATACTGTCATTGTTTTAAAGACCAGGAAACTGTCACTGCTGGTTTATCTGTCCAAAAGGCCTGCAATTTGTTTATTATCTTTTATAGCCTCATCTGAAATAGTCCGTAGGGAATGTGAGTTTTTTGAAGAGATCTACTTATTGTTGCTTACTTTCTGCTAACCTAGATCTAAAGGGTCTGAGGATTACTTTAGGTGCTCAGCAAACCAGTTTATATGCTGCAGCAAACCGGCTTTATTCATTCTCTGACATTTTAACCTTTGAAAATTTCTTGATAGATATCTGGTTTGTTTGCCTTTAGTTATGCCAATTGAGAGTTAACAACAGAGGTGTTGTGGGGGGTTTTGTTCTCATTTTTGTTTTTATTTTTCAGTACTGGGGATTGAACCCAGAACCTAATGGGTATTTTACCTCTGAGCTATAGCCCCAGCACTCAGGAGTTAAGCCTCAGCTTACCTGTTGATAATATCAGGTCTGATAAAGAAATAGGGAAAAAATAAACTCCCGTATATAAATTTCTGTAGCCTTTTGAAGTCAATTTGGCATTATTTATAAATAGGTAGGAATCTCACTGACAGAAATATGTGTATTACCAATGTCACTCATAGATGTTCACCACACTGTTATTTGTAATAACCAAAACATGGAAAAAGTATTAAATGCTTATTAGGAATTGGATGAATTATGATAAATTCATGTAATAAAATATTAGGTACCTATTTAAGAAAATAAAGTAGCTGGATGTGTTGTGACTTGAAAATAGTGAAACTCAAGTATTCATAATGTGTTAAATAAATGAGCGAGTCACAGCACAACATGCCTAGTGCAGCCCCTGTCAAGGAAGGAAGGAAGAAGGTCGGAAGAAGGCTGAGAGGGAGGGTGGGATGCTGTATAATTGTAGAAAAAAGCTGGAAGTTTACATGTAGCTTTGCTTATCTCTGAGAAGACAGAATTGAAAGCTATTTTTGCCTCCCCAGTTTGTATATATATATATATATATATATATATATATGCAGAATAGTAAGATTATAGGAAATTACCATCTTTTGTATTTTCAATATCTTAATAATTGAACAAAATAAAACCCCACTAAAATGTTTAAATACTTTAAAACATTTCTATATCATGAATATAAAAGCCTTAAAATAACAGGAATGAGGAATTTACAGAGTGCTGTTTGTTTTTTGAGCCAGTCTCTCTATGTAGTTCAGGCTGTCTTTGAATTTACTACGCAGCCCAGGTTGGCTGAGCTCCCCCTCCTCCTTTAGTCTCCTTCATTCAGCCTCCCAGAATTATAGGCATTCTATACACAGATATAGAATATTGTCCCAGCTATTAAACTGAATGTTGAAGTTTAGGTATGTTTGACTCCAACTAATTTTATTCTGCACTAAAATACCTTTCCAAGATTTCCGAGACTTTCTAGGGCTCATAGTGGCTTTTATTTTTGAGTTTTCTCTGCTGCCTAATTCCAGACTTGTTCCTATCTCCTAGAGTTGTTCTCTGTTCTATGTCTGCCTGGCCAATTTTTTTTTTTTCATGCTTCAAGCTCCTTTGACTTTTTTTTTTTTCCTTTCAGTATTAAAAGTTGCACCTAGGGCCTTGAGCATGCTAGAGCTACACCTCCCTACCTAATTCACCTCCTTTTTTTTTTTTTTTTTTAAATGAAAGAAGTCAGGTTGACTAGGTAATTTGTAAAAAGGAGATTGTGAATTACGGTCACTGCCCTGCTTAATGCAGGCTTTTTGAGCACATGTTGATTAAATACCTTGTGGATTAAAAATACCAATGGGTAAAGAATATTAGGCTTAATCATACTTTTGTATTTTCTGTAGAGATATTACAAGAAAATGAATGTAGCCAAATATTAATCTCATTGTGGAAGCTACACACTCTTTTATGTTCTAATGGGATATGTAATTTTACAGTTAAGGGAAACTGAATGTTTAAGAGTAAAATTCAATATATTCCTAAAGAAAAGACTTCCTATTTTGTAGCTATTGTATTATAGATGAGCTTTCAGTAAGATACTATTTCCCAAGCTCTAGAGAGTGCTCTGAAATGGAAATTAATATTCCCAAACAAGTGTGTAAATACAATACTCTTGTCCCTTAAGGGCTTTCATTCTGAAGCTGAATTGAGGGCAGCTGACTTAAGGTCTTGTCTAATAGCAAATGGCTATTCAGAAGCTAAGAACAAAAAATTTCTAACATAAGGTCAGCTTTTTTTTCTTTTTTTTGTTTTTTGCTTTGCTTTGCTGTACTGGAGATTTGAGTTCATGGCCTTGTGCATACTCTTTAGCACAAGCTTAACCCATGGCTCTTTTTACTTCTCTTATTTTGAGATAAGATATTTATCTTTTCTGATAAATATGCAAGGTTTTCTTTATTTATTTTCTTTCTCTCTCTCTCTCTCTCTCTCTCTCTCTCTCTCTCTCTCTCTCTCTCTCGTGGTACCAACGTCAAACTCAGGACCTTGTGCTTGTTAGGCAGGTGCTTATGCCACTGAGCTATATCCCCTACCCTCCAAGGTTCTCTTTTGAGTAAAGTTATATACTAGATGCACAAGTAGAAGTTACATGCCCTAGATGCACAGGGCTAGTCTATATCTTGTATTTTTATTGGTTTCTGACCTCTGTAGCTTTTTGATTGGTAGTTTCGTTATGAAAAAAGCTCACTTTAAAAAAAACTATTATGTTTAGATGCTTGTTATTAGAAGTTGTATGTCAAATGCCATTTTATATTAAAGTCCAGTTATTAAAAAGATTTTTTTTGTTGCTGCTGCTGTTCAATCTGCCTCCTCATATAAATATGTAGGTATATGTAGTTGCATTAATACTTTTTACCTCTGTCATTACCAAGATTTCCCATTCTGCTTTCAAAGTAAAGTTCCAGCTAGATCTATTCATATCAAAAATCTTATTTTAGTATAACTTGTCCTTGTCCTGATATGGGGTTGAAGTGTTTAGAAAATGATCCTAATTAGGTGTTGCCCATATCTTTTGGTGAGCTTTCAAAAATCATGATGTTTAGGTTGTACTCCATACCAGTTAAATCAAAATGTCTTCTGGGGTAGCATAAGGAATATGGCTGCAGTCATATCAAGCATGTAGTGACATCACAACATACTGGCAGCTGAGGTGAGGAGTTTTTAAAAACTCTAAGAGAGCAATTTCTCCAAAAGCTGATTGGTTATACTCAAAAACAAATGGCCTGTCATAGCTAGAGCAATAAATAAAATGGGTGAAAATTACCACAGAAACTTTGTATAAAGAGACATCACAGGGTTAATTTTTTTTATTTTAAAGAGATTAAGACAAAAGAGGACAGAACAAAGCAGATCAGAACAGAACAATGTAAGCAACACAGCACTTCCAACAAGACAATTGGATATTAACAGTAGCTACCATGTCTCTTTCTTTGAAATAGTTGAGCATACCTTCACATACAATAGTATCAAACAACAAAATATAGAACCACACAAAAGAATGAAAGTATTACAGGGCATTCAGAACCAAATAACAGAAAATGAACAATGGCTACTATGTCATCTCATTTTCTATAGAAAATTTGTCTATACTATCACACAAATTAAAATCCAATAAGACAACAGGATAGAACCAATGGAAACAGAAGAACAAAAGCATATAGGACTTCAAAGCAAGATGATATTAAATCAGCAATGGCTGCCATAATGTCTTGTTTTCTTCACAAAGGCTATTCATACCATCACATGTAATAAAATCAAACAATAAAACCATTCCAACTATTGAATGAAAACATTATAAGGCTTCAAAGCAATGTAATGGGGAATCATGATTACCATAAAATCTTATGTATTCTTACCATTTCCTACACTAGGGAAACTATATAGTATTTATACATGTGAGTTTGATTTATTTCATTTACGAGTATGGTCTTAAGTTGCATCCATTTATTTATAAATATCTCAATGTGATCATTCTTTATAGCTGAGTAGTACGACATTGTATAAAAATACCATAAATTTGTATACATTCCTCAGTTGATGGACACTTAGGTTGTTTCCAAGATCTGGCTATTACAAATTGTGCTGCTGTAAACATGGGTGCACATATATCACTGCACCACTGGATTATTAATCAGATGAAGTGTCTCGAGCAAATGACTGAACTTTGCTCAGGAACTATATATTTAAGCTTCAAAAGGCAGAATTTGCAGGATGCCTGTTTCAATGATGTGCTGTCCTAGCTTGCCTCAAATTAGATCCAAACTTTTATTTAATGAGTAACTTAGACTCAATTTGGTCTCATATTCATATGGGTGGCTGAGATCAGCACCTTATTCCTATTTGTGTGTGACAGAATAAAGGTTTACTGTATAAATTGATAAATAAATAAACCATGCATCAAAAGACAGTATATTTCAGTTGCCTGATCTGTTTACTTCCCTTACTATAAAGGGCTCACAACAGGAGTGCCAGGCATCAGTGTTTGTTTGTTTGTTTTTTTTTTTAAAGATTTCCCAAGTGGACTGGGGATTTAGCATAAGCACGTGCCTGGCAAGTGCAGTGTCATCAGTTTGATTCCCAGTACCAAAAGACAAAAAAAAAAAAAATTAGTAAAAGATCCCTAAGTGATTCTAGTGTACAGTGTAGCTTTACTTATTAGCCACATGATAGCTTAAAGATTCTACCTCCCAATAGTATATTTTACCTACATGAAAAAATGTTATATAAATATGACAATTATCATTGTTACCACTATTTTTATTTAAACTGTGGAAAAATTCTTAGCTCTTTTGTGTTACAGAACCTAGTATCTGAGCTCACATCTTTTACTTATTTCTATTCTTAATGAACCACTCTGTGTCTTAATCTTAAATATATGCCTTCTTTCTTATAGCTCACTTGGTGTTTTCACAAGAATATGGCTGTGTTAGTCAAAAGATGGGCATTTTATGAATGCGATCACCTTTGAGAAAGTAGTGATTACTTTAACATTATTTTTCTGCAGACATTACCTTTTCCTGTTGCGACAACCTACCACCTTGGTCTTGTACCACAAGTTTCATTTACAGAGTAAATGAACTTTCATGTATATTTCACCTTGATTTATTTCACACAGTCACTTTCTCATATATAGTAAAAGACAACTGAAGTGAAAATAGGTTTGGTCACACTACTGAACAAGAGTGAAATTTTTACAATTTTGGTTTTTCTAAGTATCCAATTGGGCTTCATTCAGTGTGGTTTTAGAATCACAGGAATGCCCTAAACTTGAACATCTGGGAAACAAGTAGTTTTAGAACAGCGAAGGCAGCTTGTTCTTGTCTAAAGACTTGTCTTTAGAACTCACTACACTGAGAGGCTGAGAGTAAGCAAACAATCCTTTCTTTCTAGATCTTCATCTGCTGGTGGACGTGGCCTGCAAGCAGGAACACTTTCCAAAGGAGGAAGAATTCAAAGAGTGAGGAATGGATGACAGAAGTGACATTGTGCATTAGCTGTAGCTGGAGGCAGACCAGCCTTGCACATGACACACTGTTGGGATTTTTTCAGTTCTGTTAAGGAAAAGAAGTATTTTTTGTTTTGTTAATTGAGAATTTTGTTAATTGAAAATTGGGAGTTTGGTATTTATTACAGCTGTTCAGTTCAGATTATTTACCTTGACAAACTACTAAACATCTAGCAGCTATGTTTTGTTTGCTGCCCAGATCCCTTTCAGATGTTAAGTCCAAGCCTTCTGTTACAGTAAGGAAGTATCTACAGACTGCCACATCTATGGTACTGAAGCATGTGTGGAGCACAGTGCTGAGTTGTCTTGCAGTTCTCAAACTGACATCAACAGCACTCCAGCGGGGAGTTTAGTCTCTGTTTCAAGCATGGTGTGATCCTTGTAGAGAAGATTGTGTAAGAAACAAAGACATAGGAGGTCACCGAGATCACAGGTCTAAATGGGTCAGGAATTCCAGGGAAGAAACTCTGGGGAAGAGTTAATTTTCTAAGTGATTAACCAGGAAATTGTCTTATTTCCTAACCCAGCAATCTGTTTTAAGAGCAAGGCACCGGACTTGGACCATCCATCACACTTAACAGCCCCTGATTCTTTTATATTAATGAGAGCATTTTTCTATTTTCATACCTTTCTTTAATTTTAATGATACATTATCATAAATGCTAAGAAGGTTTTGTTAATATCACTTACTTAAGTGTCTTGTAAAAAAATATTTAACTTGTTTAATTATATTTACAAATGGTGTAGATTTAAAGGTTTTAAAGCTTTATATTTTTATTAATATTACAGATATGTAATGTTCTCGTTTTGGAGGAGAAATGTACAATGCACAAACAAAAACTTTAAGAATTTAATGCAGTGTTTCTTATTTTAGATTTTTACATTTGACAAGTAAAAATCCTCATCTATAAAAAGTTGTGCAACTTTTGGGGGAAAACATAACTGTCATGTAGCAGAAGCTATGCTCTGATGTTTTTTTAATAGTTTATATCTGGCTTAAATTTCCAAAACAATTTTGGATAGTGGGATAAACTATTTTTTTCTTATCCCTCTATAGGATTCTTAATTCAAGTAGTAGGATGGTGGGATTGTTTTTAAGGAGAGGAGGGCATCTTAGAAATCCAGTTTTGTGGTTAACCCCTTGCTTGCCCATTCAATGACAACAAGAGCTCTTCTTAAAGTCTTTTAAACTGACTAGTACTAACTGTATACTGCTTCATTTTTTCTAATATGCACTGCAGAAACAATAAGAAAACCTGAGACTATGAAACTAATAAAAAAGGCACTTAGTGATATGACATAATTACTATACTAGCCACTGTGGATGTTATAGCTCATGTTTTATTTTATTGCACTGTGCCTCCCCAGTGAAGTCAAGCCCAGGAAGTATTACAGAGACCTAGATTTTTCTTTTTCCAGAGGGGTGAGCTCTGTATTAGTCTGCAGTGACTTGGTTTACATATGAAAATAGATTCTGAAAAGTGATCTGTCTGATTTCAAGTGATTAAAACTAATTCATGTCCATGTGATGGGTATTTATGTATCTTTCTTAGCAAGGCTTTAAAATGAACAAATTATCAAGACATCTATATCTTTTGGCCAGGTTGTATATTTTGGCAGAGTTGGTAAAAAGAAGACACAGTTTCCTAATGAAGGAACTTTTTCTTTTCTCTGTCATATTGAAGAGCTGGTAAACAGTGTAGGTGATATTCATTCTCTTCAATATGCTTTTCTCAGCCCTATATTGTTGAAAGAGATAATATCTTTTGAGGAACATGTGTCAAGCAGGAACCTTGGCATAGGTTTGGTTTCAGTGGTTTTAAGGCTTAATTAATGAAATGCCTTGATGGGCTTTCCAAAGTTTTATGTATATGAATACAACAAACCAAGGAGCTGGATCTCCTGCTATATTCACATTCACATCTGTCAACAAAAGCTATCATCAGTGACTTGGGCAAAATGGTAAGAGGTAAAAATCTTCATGTGAATTAGCCAGTAGGATCTGACACATACTAACAAGGTTCCTGATTAGCACCTCAGTATTTCAGCACCTTAAGCACCAATAAATTTCAATCAGTCAACAATAAAGTGAGTGTTTCAACTAGACTTCTCTTGCTTGTTTTTATTATTTTATTCTCCAGTAGAAAATTCAGTCATTATGACTGTTAATAATACTAGTAAAGTTCAAAAGGGAATGTACTATATTTTGGGGGGGGGGGGAATGGTGTTTGAGACAGGATCTTGCTATGTAGTTCAGAATGTCCTAGAATTTATAGTCTTTTTGCTTTAGCCTCATAATGCTGGGATTATAGGCATGCATTGCCACATCCAGTTTAGCACTCTGCTTTTCAAATTATCTTTTTAAAAACTGTCCTGACATTTTTTCATTTGCACTAGACTAGAGATTGAAATTTTAAAATGTCATTAAGAGTAAAGACAATTCACAGACATGTATATGAATACAACAAAGAACAATTTTGTGGAAAAGGCTGAATATTCTTCAGTAAAGTCCATTTGTAAGTTATTTTTTGTTAAGTTTGAACATGAAAGATATTTTTGCATGTATAGTTTCATTATTTATGAAACTATAAATTATGTCATAGTTCATTATTTATGCTGTAATCATATAGCATACATAAAATAAAAATATAAGCTAGATGTGATGGTCTCTTCTGGGAGGCTGAGGCAGGAAGATTGCCATGAGTTCAAGGCTAACCTGGGCTACATAGTAAGTTTACCAACCTGAGCTACATGGTGAGACTCTATCTCAAAAAAAAAAAAAAAAAAAGAGTATGGGGGAAATAGCCTTGTGCAAAATCCAGTAATACCACAAAATAACAGATTTTTAAAATTTCTCTCCAGCAAATTAGAGTGCTTTCTGTCTTTTAGGAAAGCAACTGCAAAAGATCTGTGTTACATAGTTTTTAAAGTTAAAACAAGAAAAAGTGTTAAATAAGAATGTACTTTAGAATTTGTCGCTGTTGTAGGTTAGTTATTAGATCTAAAATTCTGAAACATAAACTTTCTATAGGATAGAATGTTGAAGGTAAATAAGCCACTTTTACTTTCTGCTTTGAGAGACATTGTAATGTAAACTTTACAAAAACCTACAATACAATTTATTGTTCACAGTTTTTCAGATTATCATACAAAGATTCATTTGCACATGAGGTAAAAACAACATAAAATTTAGTATAAGCTTTTTTTTTTGATACTGTGGACTGAATATGGGGGCCCAGGTGTGCCAGTTAAGTACTGTACTGTTGAACCATACCCTCAATCTTTTCTAACCATTTTTAAATGTATAAAAATCAGCAAACAATATTCACATTGTTTTTCACTGATAAAATTGTGAAAGATTTTGGCAGTCATTCAGAAATACCTGACCACAGACAAATATAATCTGAATTTGAAAATTGTAATATTGGAAGCATATTAGAAACTTTTGCATTATTTCTAATGGCAAGTTTATTTTAAGGGTTATAGTTTAGGAGGCCAGAGGTTTAGCTCAGTGGTATAAGGGCCTGCCTGGCAGATGTGAGGTCATGAGTTTGATCCCCAATACTGGGGAAAAAAAGATTATAATTTATGATTATGGTAATTAGCTAAAATTAGTTCTCTTTTTTCTGCTTACATCCTTATTTTACCTTCTGCTTGTATTAATGAGTCTTTCTTGCAATTTTATATCAAGGACATAGGTCTGATCTGTTAACATTTCACCTCTGCAAATGTGAGTAGAAAATAACATTACTAACATTCTTCCACCTTCTGACTCTGCAACCAAACCAAATGGACCACATTACAGGTAGATGCCAAGAAATTCTGCAGCCTGGAAAAATAATCCATGCAGGTCAAGAAAACTTATTCCAAGATGAGAACTATTGTCCCTAAGAACTCTAAAAGCTTTTTACAGACGATCCAAAATAATTTCTGTAATCTCCTTTGTATAACTGACCTCTGATATCCCCTTGATCTAAAAGCTCCATATAGGAACAGTTTGAACAGAGTTAACCAAATTTAAATTAGTAATCTATGTATAAATTGGTCAGAGTCCTTCTCAAGGTAGCAGATAGAAGCAGCAATAAACCAGCAAAGACTATAGGATAGGTTCACTTTATTCTGGCATTGTGCCATTTATAGACATAAAAACCCGGAAAAAGCAGAAAACCCTTTGAATTTATGTTTGCAAAACCTTATGTCCATTCTTTTATCTTTTGGATTTTATTTTATTTTTTCTGTTTATTTTCTCATGCCACCATCTCTGCTCTGCGGGGCACAGAATCTGCTTGGGTATATTTGAGTGGCCCTGATTAACCTTGTGGTAACTTACTGACCCACCAAAAGGTATGGAGGCTTGAACTGGATGCAGTTGGGCTGTAGATCACTAGAGGGAGTACAGGAGCTGAGAGAGGAGAGGGAAGGCAGGGGTCCGGTTAAGTAAGCGGTGAGCGCACACACCAGGAGGAGGAGGGGCGGGGGGTGGCTGCCTCTGGCTGCTCCACCCTCACTTTGTCAGCAGGTAGAGAGCGTGATTGCAGTCCCAGGGGAGGGAGTCAGAGCTAGAACGCCAATTACAAACCACAGGCTTCCTGCTCTAGGAGCTGATCCAGAATTGTCTTTCTGGAAGGGAAGCACTCGAATCCTTTCGAACTTTCCAAGTCCATCCATGATTCAGAGATACTGCCTTCTCCCTCTGGGATTTTCTGTGTTTGTGGTAGTGAATTGCTGATGTATTGCTACATTGCTGCTTTTCTTTCAAGATTTGACCATTTAATATGCTGTTCGGAGAGAAAAACAACTTCTGTTAGGCGATTACAGAAATTATTTTGGATCTTCTGTAAAAGCTTTTAGAGTTCTTGGGGACAGTAGTTCTCACCCTGGAATAAGTTTTCTTGATCTGCATGGATTATTTTACCAGGCTGCGGAATTTCTCGGCACCCACCTGTAATGTGGGACACTTGGTTTGGTTGCAGAGTCTGAAAGTGGAAGAATGAGCTGTACTTGGTTAAGCAATTCTAACCCTTTTTGAGCAGGATCTATAAAAGCATAAGTGAATGTGTTTCACCCCCGTGGATTCCAGTGGCCCCGACAGCACAACAGGTTTGCAGATTTCTTTTGGAATTCTTTTTTTTTTTTCCTCCTTTTATTTCAGCAAAACAAAAGAATAGAAGAGGTTCATGTTCAGTAGCTTGACTTTTGAGCACTTATTCTGAAGACTTTATAAGATCTTTTAAATTTGACCTCGAAACGTAGCAGGCTTTGTGGGTGAAGTGCATTTATAGTACTTAAGGGTGCTTATTTTAAAATCTTATTCTGTGTTTATACAAAGACCCAACATTCATATATGTGTCTAGAAATAGCACAGAACTACTCTACTCAGGCATAATTGTAGTTTTTTGGGGTGTTCTACTTCGAGCTTATGACTAGTCTCATCCCCAATTCCCCTTTTATTCTCCACCTTCTCAAGGAATAGTTCCTTGTTTTTCTTATGAAACTAAAAATTTATAGTTTATATCTGGATATTAGTTTCTAAACGCACCTAATGGGAAATCAAGAATAAAATCTGGAATGCCTAAGAGAAAAAGAAAAACAGTAATAGAAATATGAACTTTAAATACGAAAAATAATTGGAAAGCTAATCTTTTCAAATATTCTAGTTTTGAGAATTGGAAACGGTGATGTGCAGGATTATCATGTAATATATGAAGACAATCTTACCTAATTTATAGGCAACTTTTGGTAGAGCACATAAAATGTCCAAGTTCATGAAAAGTATATAAATTCAATTGACCTAGAATTTTGGACTTACAAAATTGAAACACAATTTAATCTGAAAACCTTTCTGAGAAATGCTGTAGCATCCCTCAAGGTGTGGTATGAAATTTTTAAAAATTAGCTCTTCTATTAAAAAATTCCTTGTGGTCTTTAATTATTTACAATTGGACAATTTTGTGGCTTAAAATGTCTTAAATTTTCTGAGCTGGAGTTACTCATTCTCACTTTCAATGCATGGCCCTAGCTGTTTACTTTGCCTTGTTTTGTTCATCAATACTGGGTGTAGTGCCTCAGGAACTTGATGCATATGGAACCAACACCAAGTGATTTGACATAAGAAAAATTCACAATTTGACTTTCAATCTCAAGTGAAGCTGGAAATTCCAAAGAGAAGTAGTGTTATTGCAACGGTCAGAGTGAAGATGGGAGCAAATGACATACCTGCAGCAGAAGTGGGCTGAAAACACCCTCTTCTCTGCCCAATCAGGAATGCCACCTGTTCTTGGGAATAAACTTTAGAGAAAAGAGGGGCCAATACTATGGCTTGGCTTTCTGAAACTGAAGCATGATTTCTCTTTTCCTCCATTTATCTGGATCTGAAACCTGCGTTTGGTATTAGCTGGTGGAAGCAGTATGTATGGCCAGGGTGCATTGCTGCAGCTGGTAGCATGAGTGGTGGCCACCAGCTGCAGCTGGCTGCCCTCTGGCCCTGGCTGCTGATGGCTACCCTGCAGGCAGGCTTTGGACGCACAGGACTCGTATTGGCAGCAGCGGTGGAGTCCGAAAGATCAACAGAGCAGAAAGCTATTATCAGAGTGATCCCTTTGAAAATGGATCCCACAGGAAAACTGAATCTCACTTTGGAAGGTGTATTTGCTGGTGTTGCTGAAATAACTCCAGCAGAAGGAAAATTAATGCAGGCAAGTATAACTATTTAATTTTTCTTCTGTTTGAAATATGCTTTTCTCCTTTTATGTCCCAAACCAAATGGCATAGAAGGGCTTCTGCTGTGTAGCTTTCTATTCTATATTTCCAGGATATTGCCTTATTGGCTTTCTAAAGCATTTTAAAATTTTATACTCAAGAAGAAATATATAAATCCTATAATTTAGAAGATCATTTGCTTATTTTTAATTTTATTGCACAGCCTTTTTAGATATACATATTAAGACTTTTCTTTGCAAGTAATATGTTTTGGGCACTATTTTTTGATAGGTGAAATATATGGGTTTGTATTTAATTGACCTGGGGATTGTAGTTTATATCTTGTTAAAACTTGAAGCAAGCACTAAAACGGCTGAGTTTCATGGTCAGCAGCACCCTAGAATGCCCTTGCAGTGTATTTGATTACAGTGTCGCTTTTAAAATTCAGTCAAGCTTGAATGTGACGGCTGGGTTTATACCACGTGTGACACCCTATTGCTAAGCCCAAAATGGAGAGGAATGGATTACAAAATGGACACAAAATGTAAACCTGGCTTGTGATCCCTTTAGTCTTATCAATGCGTAGTTTTATGGTTTTTCAAAATTAAATATAACATCTACTTTTTATTGATTCTACTACAGAGTTTTCCCCAGTATCTTAGGCTTTTAAGGCTGTAAATTTTGCCTGTAATGTTCTCAGCCTGATCTTTATGTTTGAATTTATGAACTGATTGAAGCCATAGCCTTTCATATGCCAGTTGCTCATTCTCTGTGGTGAAGACAGAGTTTAAAGGTTTATATCTTTTTAATAGGTATTCTGCTGTCTTACTCCATTAAATGATATCATTTATTGATTAAAATTCATTTTATAAAGTAACATTTGTGGCTGTAACTCTTAGACACAGTTTAAAATGTGCTTAAATATGATCAATCTCAGCACCCAAACTCAGATTTTTATTTTGTGACATGCATAGGGTATGAATATATTCAAAATATATAGAAATTTAAATTTTTGTCTTACAAAAAGGTTAAAAAAGAAACTAATTATCAAATTCTTTTTCAGATATGAATTTTAATTATATAGTTTAGTAATTCTTTGTTGTACCACCTTGGCATTATTTTGAAGCTGAGCTAAATGAAGTGGAAGAAGAATTAGGTGAAATGGAAGTTTTGCTATTCAGAAAAATAGGAAAGTAGAGTATATCTGAAAAAAAAATGACAGGATTTTTTTTTTTAATGAGTATCATTTACTCAAACTCCTAAGATGGAATTAGAAATACTTAAAAGATGAAATTATAAATCTTTTTTGCACATAGCAACTGGAAAAGGAACTCACTGATACCCTGAAGCATGAAACACGTGCTCTGTTTTAACTTTTGGCATAAGTAATTTTATTATAAAACTATATTTTGGTTTCTCAAAAAGTCTTTGGGAACCATACTAAGTCTTATGCCTTGCGTGTTCAATGAGTTAATTATATGCTACATAAAATAATTTCCTCTTATTTTACATTTCTTGTCTTCTATTATAAAGCTCTATGTAAGGTTTTTGTGTTTTCATAAAGGAAGAGACAAATAACAAACACCAGTTGGCATTCTCTTTGCCATTCATTTTATCAGTCTTTCTCATGCTCTCTTTGTCACTCTGGGAAATCATGCTGATTTCTTTAACTATTCACATTGTGCCTACTGGGATACTTTTGATATTGTTTCTTCTTTGTGTAGAGGGATTTCACTGTGTCTCGGCCAGGACTCTCAGGCTACCCAGTAGACAATTTCCAAAATTTGGCAATTTTCACGCTTCTACGCCATTAACAGACTATTAGTCTCTGGGTATGTGCAGTACTGATCTGTTTTGTGTTAGTTTTTAATCATAGAAATTACTAAATTTTCCTAAAAGCCTCTTACAAGGAACCGTTTGTTTGCGGTACTAGGGATTGAGTCTGGTGTTTTGAACATGTTACGGATGCATTCTACCACTGAGCTACATCCCCAGCCCCACACAAGCAAGTTCATTTTTAAAAAACAAAAATTTTTTAAAACACCTTTTTAATTGTATGCATTAGTTTTTATTTATCCATTATTTGATTAACTCCTTCAAAGAACCCGTGTGTTAGGGAAACATGGCTTACGCTTGTGGAATCCATGCTATTTGTTCCTTATCAGATTACACTGCAACTCAGGTTACTCAACTGTGGTTAACCAAGCTTTCCATTTAGCTGAAGATTTGTTTATGTCTCCTAGATTTGTGCTTTGTAGCATTGTAGCTTTCTTAGTGACTAGATATACCTTGCTGTCACAAATCTAAAGGCAGTCTTCTATTCTGACTTGGGAGATTTTTGAGAATTCTAGGTATCTATCTACCTATGAATTATTAGCTACCTGTTAGGACTGGTTGTCTTTATGGATGCATCTGGGCCTTTGTAGAATTGAAGATGCTGTGTTCTGGAAAATCTAAAGGTTAATATAGTGATTTTTAAAAAGAATAACTTTGTGTGGTTTCTGGACTTAGCAGAAAATTTCCAAAAATCAGATAATTTATGTTTTGTGCTAGTTAATTTGCAGTACATACAATTTCATAAGGAAAAAATTGGATTTTCATTTATATTACATTTCTAACTTCCCTTAGACAAAATAAAATATTCCTAGATATGTCCTCAACTTGTTTAATAGTAAAATAGATTATAGAATTGCCTCTTAAATAATTTTGCTTGTCTCAGTATTGTCTAACGGCTACATGCACAAGAGCATCAAAAGCCAAAGCATTGATGAGTTTTTGTCCTGATTCTCATCTCTTGCTCTTTGTGTTTAGATTTTATTTGCTAGTAGTGATATCCATTTTATAAGATGTTTTCAAATTTTTAATTGGTAATATTCTAAAAGTACTAGAATAAAGTGAAAATAAAAGAGGAAATACTGCCTTTGCTATATATTCCCTTCTATTTCTCAAGCTGTCTTTTCCATTCCAAAAGTCTCATCTTAATCCTGACCAAATTTCATTGCTTTTTATTTTGCCTGAGAGTTGTTCTTTTGCATTATCATATATCATTTTGAATCCTTGAATCAGTTTGGTGCTATCTTTGAAGAGTCTTAATTCTTTGGTTTCCCTTACATTTGCGAAAATTGTGATCTGTTTCTTCTGTAGTTTCCTTCCACCTTTTTTTTTTTTTTTAACTATACTTTGTTTTCCTTTTGTTTTTTGCTTTTTGGTTTTTTGTTTTTTATTGTTTTGTTTTGTTTTGTTTTTTTGTAGCAGGGATCAAACTCATGACCTTGCACTTGGCAGGCAGGCACTTAGGCTGCTGAGCTGAACTCCCAGCCCTATATTTTGTTTTCTATTTAGGATAACCTTCCACTGCTATTCAATCAGCATTTCCTTACTAGCCATCAAAAATCTAGGTCAAGGAAACATTCCAGATCTCCTAAGTACTTGGTGGTGACTGATACACGATAGTAATTACAACGTGTATTTTTATTTCCATTTGAATATAATTCTTTTTAAAATACCATTATAGATGGCAAATGTCTTAGAATTTATGGATTGTCTAATTTCTACTTTTCTGGCTTGTTTACCTCTTTTCAATGTTTCTATAATTTTTAGTGATATGGGTGCCACTTCTGAAATGATTACAGTGATATTTTATTTTTGTATAACTATATTGATAGGGACAACTCAAAATTTGTCCTTTACTCCAAACAAAAAGTAAAAGGATCTTATAGCAATAGGGAGTTACCATTTCTCTATCATATTCTTCCTGCTCAGCTGGTTGTCCTGGATTTTCTTAGGATTATTCCAGGATAACGTTATGATCAAGATTAGAATGTGCTGCCCTAAGGCTTCAGACCTACGAGGGAAGCGGGGTAGTTTTGAATTTGGCTAGTGAGAGTGAACAACACTCCTGGACAGATTCCCCTTTGTGCGATGTCTGTGCTTGCCTCTTAATTTTACCTATTAGTCAACACATAGTTATTCCATCTCTGAATTTTTACTTTATTTGTAGTCAGGGCCTGAAACTTTACAATTAAAATTTTTGGCTCAAGTCAGAGACACAGTACTGTGTACCATAGCAAAAACTGTGACCCCATGGTCAGACTTTTAGTGCTGACCCTGCCACCAACTGGTTGTTTGATTTGGAACAAAGTGGTTGGAACAAAGGATTGAAATGTAACAGTTACCAAACTGACACTGTGTGTTTTCTGTGTATCTGCTCATTGAATTCTCATTGTAACTTTTTAAAAGAAGTTGTTCAGAATTTTTGTTTTTTACATTTTACTGATAAGAAAGCCTTGTGCCTTAACTGTTAATATCTGCCAAGGCATTCACTAGTATTAGTAAATAAGTGGCAAAGCTGGAACTTGAATTGCAGAGCCCATGGTTTTCCAGCTTTAAAGTTCTGTACACCTGAGGATACCACAGATGAAGACAACACTAGCATCGGTTTTATATAATTTCCAAAGAAGAAAGGGTGAGTATGGTTATCTAAAATTGATACAGAATATACAATGTTCTACAACCTTCTAAAAAATGTTTGTCATTTTTTTCTCATTTTGCATTTCATGTGCAAAGACATCAGTAAATCAGAATGCTATTTTATTTTAGTTTTGTATTTTGAGACAGGGTCTTGCTATGTAGCCCAGGCTGGCCTCAGACTTGTGGCTGTCCTCCTGCCTCAGCTCCCTGAGTGCTTGGATTGCTGGTGTGAGCTACTACGCCTGGCTCAGAATACCTATTTATTCAGTATCTCTGTTCCATTGTCTTACCTTCTTGTTAAAACAGTCTAGGATGACTACTAATAGAGGAACTAGAAATAGTCAATTTTGAAATAATATGCATTTAATTGATATTGTTCAAATTAGAAATCTTTGGATGTAAATTTCAAAGTAGATTTTGTGATTTTGCTTTGATGCCAGGCTTTAGAAAAAAATACAGAGTAAACATTAAAGGTATAGTCAATTCTAAGTCATTTATGTTAATAGAGGTGCAGAAAATCCAACTA